ATAACTCTGTAATCGTTAGTGTTGGCGGGGTTGAACGACTGCTCACGGCGGAAGAGGAACCGGTGGCCGCGGAGGATTCTTTTGAGGAAGAAGAACTTGGGGGAGGTTGACGAGGACCTTTCAGCAAGGACCCTCTGGCTGGGCGGCTGGAGGGCAAGATGGAAGAAGCGGGTGAAGGTGAAGCTGCTGGGGTCCTACTAGCTTGGCGCTGCTTGGGAATTGGCACATCGCGAATCGAGGTACGTCGGGGTGCCTGCGCGGTGGGCCCCGCCAGCCGGCCGGTTCGCTTCCCAGCGCTTGCCCTACCCCCCATCAGAGCTCGGCGCCGGAGGTCCTGCATATAGACCCCAGGACGAGGGAACCGGCTAGCGGGTGCTTTGGGTGAGACAGCTGGTGCTTTGGGTGAGACAGACCCCATCAGGGATTCCCTGGAAGCCGAAGCGGCCATGCTGAACACCCGTAGAACTAGCCAATGGAATCTCTAGTTTCAACCGGTAAGTAAGTAGCAGATATGGAGTCGACACTAATGCTATGCTTATGATGGTCAAAGTAAGTCTCAGTCTTTCAGGTAAGGCGTGACGGGAAAGGTTGGGAATGTGAGTGTGATGGCTCTCCTTAAATATTGTTCTTTTGCCCCTCACTCATTGGCACTTTGACACCGGTCCCTTCAATTCTCTTCTCTTGCAACAGACCGGATTCCTCAAGTCATCTCTGATACCTATGTATCTGTGTTGACCTGATCAAGGGAACGGTCCCCGCGGTGATATCGACAATAACCAACACAAAGAAAACATACACTGCCCTGGAATTTCAAGGCCAGATGCCCTGGAAATCGGATCATAAGATTTCCGGACATATCAACACATCGGAAAGCGGCATGTCGAGGTTGTATGTTGGCATGGTATAGTCAGGATAAGTCCTAAAATGTCTATTCTGATTGATAATTGAATGGATTTTTTGAATGTTTACAAAAATTGATTAGCATTTTTTAATCAAACTTTTATGATATACAAATGTAAAAAGTAGTACTATTAGGAAACATGGCTAAAAGAAGTGGAATAAATCCTTAGTTGAACATAATGATGGGAATAAGAGACATGAGAATTTATTTAAGACCAGAGAAAACTAATAAAAATCAGTACAAGACAATGTTCTGGCAGCATTAATGTCTGAATGCTTGAGAAGTGAATGAAAAAGTGGGATTTTCTGTTAGGCATTGTCATTGATACAGAACACAACCCAACTTTGGAATGAAAGCACACAGAAGTATCATTCTGAAGCATGGATAAGTAATTTTTAACCAATAAAAATAACTTATCCATGCTTTGGAATGATACTTCTATGTGCTTTCATGTCAAAGGTCGGCCAGTGGCCCTAAATGAAGTCAGTGTTTCCACAAATGACCACACACAACTTTGGAATGAAAGCACACAGAAGTATCATTCTGAAGCATGGATAAGTTATTTTCAACCAATAAAAATAACTTATCCATGCTTTGGAATGACCCTTCTATGTGCTTTCATTCCAAAGTTGGGCTGTGTTCTGTATCAATGACAATGCCCAACAGAAAATCCCACTTTTTCATTCACTTCTCAAGCATTCAGACATTAATGCTGCCAGAACATTGTCTTGTACTGATTTTTATTAGTTTTCTCTGGTCTCAAATAAATTCTCATGTCTCTTATTCCCATCATTATGTTCAACTAAGGATTTATTCCACTTCTTTTAGCCATGTTTCCTAATAGTACTACTTTTTACATTTGTATATCATAAAAGTTTGATTAAAAAATGCTAATCAATTTTTGACTTACTTAGAAATTCACCGGTGCTGTAATTTTATAAATTTAGCTGAGGTGTGCCGATTGGGGGGTTGTGGAGATTTGGGGGAGTTGACAGACATTGTTGATTTAGTGGATGTTTAATTTTGGTCGGTATTTGAGGTATTTCATTGTGGTACATACAATATCCAAGTAAGGTTTCTTTCTGTCCACACCCACCTGGACACCACACCAACCGATCTGGATTCCTCCTACAGAACCCTTAATCTTATCCTCATATCATCATCAGCTCTCTCGCACCCTTGATCCATCGCAGTAATATACCTCAGGGACCGATCCGAACATTCTGGCAACCGATAAGCTTTGGAGGCAGCCGAAACTTCAAGGGATTGACTGACTCATCGACCAATACAACTGCCCTCTGGACATTGATCCCATCCCTCTTTTGATATCTCGTATGTCATGGTTAAGTCGCGCACTAAACGAGCGGTTCCAGTTTCACGAGTGGTCCGCCTGCAACGGGAAGTCAATCATGAACGGGACTTAGCAGCTCTACACAGTTTTCGGGGTGTTCAAAATTCAATGGCGCGCATGGACGTGGCACTGTCGGCTGATACCCGCTTGGCGGAAGATTTAGTGAACGAGCACAGCTATAATTTTGATTATAATCAGGATCAACCCAATCAAAACGATGATGAAGAGGAGTCGGATGATGGATGGGTGCCAATGGACATCGAACCACCCGACGAGTACAATGTCGCAATCGAATCCAACATTGAACGACTCCGACAAGAAGCTGTGCGGATCAACTGGAAGGACCTTGTGAAGGATCTGCATTCGGTTTACATGGCTCAAAAGGTCCTGACGAAGAACTGGGCACACGACAATGCTTATACAGACCATACCTCCTGCAACTGTATCTCCGGCACGAAACAAGCTATTGATCTTGTTGATATATACGGTTGGTCTTCATTTGGTCTTTTTCTGTATCATCTACAAGTCATGGGTAGGTAACCTTCATCTCACCCTTCAATTTCGGTCTTTCTGTCAGGTCAACGACGCGCGAATATCAAATTCTGTTCTTGCACATCTGATGCCGTACGTTTGGTCCAGATGGGCTATCTTCCAGGTTCACCAATCCGGCCCGTCACGGCTTTTTCGCTACCTCTGCTTATCCTCCACGATTGCTTGTGGAACAACTGTAACATTGGGGCCATGCCGTTCACAATTGCACTGAAGCAATATCTGGAACCGAGATCGCAGCGGTTGACGGTGAAAAATGCAAAGCATGTGAGTCGCCCTAATCTACATCAACAATACATATACATTTATACCTGGCTAATCTTAGTCATGTCTTTGCTAGGCTCGCGACTTGCGTAAGCCTTTCTCGGCCGCTGTTGACCTCTATCGAGAACTCAATGATCGAACCGAAAACATGATCTCCAGAATCATGCGCTTGGACGACCAGACCATTATGGCCTGTCGGAGCTGTCCGGCTTGCTTCGGGCCTGCGCCGGAAAACCTACGAGATTACACCCACTTGAAAGAGAACAAGCTGATTGTTTGCCTTGATGGTAACTTCCAACATCGCCACCATTCAAAAGCTAGCCGTGACTACGAACGAATACACACTCCGAGCTTGTTCATCGGTCAAAGCGAAGTGGATGCAATGACTGCTAAGATCCGAGATCTTGAGTTACGCAAAAAGCCACAAGACAAGGTGGGTAGTTTTGACTCTGATCTGTCTGATGATTGCCTGACTGATTTCTACGCACTACCAGAAAGACCGATGTACGGAAGCTCATAAGGCTGCTGACGACAAGCGTAACGAGTCATCATGGAAAGGTTGCGATGATACCGGGCTTATGGGATGTTGCTGTCGCCATGATGCTGCGATATATGTGGCCAACATCAATAAGTCTGGGGAGCAAAGGTGTTTCCCGATGGCACTGGTCAACAAAATCATCAATAATGTGGAGTCAGATCGACATGTTGGGATCCTATACGACATAGGCTGCTCACTTGACAAGTTCATGACTCTGGTAAGCACATCCTCAAACGATTTGATTTGATCATTTGTTTACTAAATGTATCATATCATCAGCGTGGGTTACTCGATGATAAACGTAGCCAGCTTCAGTTTGGGACCTCGGTTTTCCATGCCTACGTTCATTCGTGGACATGTCAGCTGGATTACAATCCCCGATTGAACAAAGGATGGGGGTTATCCGATGGGGAGGGACTTGAACAAATGTGGTCCTATCTATCCCCATTGGTCAGTCCTTTAAGATACGCTACACGGAATCACAGACTCGCGGCAATCTCACACCGATTAAAATATCACAACAACCGAGGCATCAAACAACTTCGTAAGTTGTTTTCTATTAACTCTAGGAGAGCTGGGGACTGACATTTGAACTGCAGCAATATGGCTCAAAAAGAAGTTCATTGCGGCCGTTCGCCGCCGGGTGGAGACCAAAACCGTCTTGTTAGAACTTCTAGACAAACCCAATCCGTTTTCGACGACCGGAGCTAATTATACGAAGCGATTTTTCAAGGCACAATGGCAAGAGCAACGCCGATTCAAGGAAACACACACCGAAGAACAGGAAGATCATCGAGCGAAGTTGGTTGCGTTCTACAAACATGAAGCTGCACTTGAGGCAATGAGGTGAGCTTGCTTTAATCGTTTTATCATATATATTTAGTGGACTCACTGTTCACACAAATACTTGATTGATCTATGTCACAGGTCTCGCCTGCGCAGCAATCCATCTCTTTATCTCAATGACGAACAGGACGTTCATGAATTTCTCGATGAGATAGAGGAGACTGCCGAGAATCTCAAAAAGGCCGCCGAGGAATTGGGCCGCACCGAGCAACTTGCTCCAAGTGAAGCAGATGGTAAGATGTTTTCGCATAAGCGGTGAAGAAGTGAGTTGTACATTGACCCGTTTGTTTCGGGACCATTAGAGAAGGAGGCTCCTATTCTCTGTGGGGGGGGATGCCAAATCGGAGTTATATGTACAAGCAGTGCAACTCTGGTTGGTAAAGCAGCCACTTACCGACTCAAGAACAATCGGGCGCCGTTTGGGAACCAAACTAAGTGAAAAGATCCAGAAGGCTATACAAAACCGCCGAGGCCCGATCAACAAACTCATCACAAAGTTCAACAGCTGCTTGAGGCATACGTGACCAAGTTCCCAAGACAACGAGTCACCAACACCGACAATCATCCACTCAATTACAAGACATTTGAAAGTATGCCGATTGACCATCCGTTTTGGAATGACGGAATCTATTATCACTCAAAAGCCCCTTGGGCCATTGAACCGGATGTTCGGACTGGTATCAGTTGCCTTCTGGTGCTTGGGAGGGTGGATGAAGAGCTCGACTTGATTACTCAAGAGATTGATCGAACTATGGGATGGGCATCATCGATGTACAGCCGTCTGTCTGAATATATCATGTACATCAGAGCTCGTGGGTTTGTTCCTCTTATGCAACTATCTGATATTACTTGTACTAATCCAACCATTCACAATTTACAGGTGCAGTAAAGATAGGCAATGGGGTGGAACTTGCTGAAGATCACATCGACAATATGGAGTTCAGTAACTTTGACAGGTTACCAAAACTTAAAATAATCAACAAAGAGCTGCAGGTCCGTTTGTTTGATCTCGGGGTAATGTTACAAGAGTGGACCGAACCGATATCATGGCTGTGCGCTTGTTGCCGACCGGAGCTACTTCGTTCATCGTACAGAACGTGGATCAATCTACTTGGGGTCATTGCCAACGATCACAACGGTCGCAATCGAGGATCGAAGGGGAAAGAGCCAGAAGTTGTGATTGATAATGTGGAAGAGGATGCTATCTTGGGGGTACACGTGGACGACGGGGAAGAAGTACAAGTACAGGAAGACGAACAGGCTGCTGGAAATGCGGCCGACTCCTGGGAGGATGTGGAGGATGCTCAGAATTGATCCTCCTGGCAGTTTGTTTTTTTCTAGTATTGTTTGTCTTTTCAGTGTTTTCGCCTCTCAATGGTGTCTCCTCTATCTTTACTTAGCAAAGGTGATTGTTGTCGTTTGTTCGTTTCACTATTTTTTATATATGTTTTCTGCATTTTCTTTGACTTCAATCCACTCCGATCGACTGTTTTGTAATATATACAAATATACAAAGGTACCACTAAAAAGAAATGAATGGAAAAACAGTGTGAGATAAAATGTAACAAATGGAAAACCATTGGGAGCAATTATAACCATCAGTGTCAGCGTTGATGCATGGGATGGGATGTGTTGTTCCGTTGATGTGATGTTTGGTTCAGGTGTTGGTGGGTGGTGTAGTGTGTCTGTTGTCATGTTTCGGCTAGTCGTTTTTGTTTGCGGCCGGCCTGGGCGATTTGTTTGTAGTGGTGTGTGTAATCCCGGGTGCGCCGATTTTGTAGGGGTGTAATGCCGGGTGCCGATTGTGTAATGGTGGGTGTAATGTGTATAGTGTTGTGTGCGCGGGTGTAAGACCCGTGATGTGTTGTGATAATCGGTGTGTAAGGGTAAGACTCGTGATGTGTGTTGGTGGGGTTGGTTATGTAACGGGGGAGGGGTGTGTATGGGTAGGGGAAGGGGGAGGGGCATGGAAAGGGGGACTTGAGAAAATCGGGTGAGGGGCAAGCTGATGGGGGGACTTAGAGGTTTTTCAGGGCATAAAATAGCTGGACATCCGGATGCCCCTGGAAATGCTGGAAATGCAATAGTGTATGCGGGGAAGTACCTACTATACGTACCATTAGAACATCTAGTGAGTCTATCTATAGTATAGTACAGTATATTGGCCTCGGGTGCGGAGGCTTACTTTTTGCAACTCTTACATACGTATCTCCTATTGCACCCCACTATCAATATGGGTTTACAAATCCCTGGCATGATAGCCTATCTCTGCCTATCTACAGTAGATAGGCCTCGCATAAAATGCCAATTTCTTTTCTTGTCTCGAGGCAACCCACACATCTTTGGAATGGAACGTGTCAATCCTCCGGCTAAGCATATAGAAGAAGTACGCTTTGGTTAAGCCCAGCCCTGATCAAAGAATTGTGCTCTTAAGAAGAAAACTCACAACCCACAGAAGCACCCCACCTCGGTAGTCTGGAGGACATTCTGGTTTCATTGTAGCCTCGGTAGTTCAGCTGTCGAAGGCATCTCTACTATAGGGGTTTGCACTGCTTCCGGGCTCGGTGTAATACCGCGCGGCAATCAAAACATTAGCCGTATTATGTGTGGGCTTGGCATCATTTCGATGTCAGCCTGCCATCCCGAGCTTAACAAAGCCTCTCGATCGGAGGGTCCCGAAGGGACCCCGCGTCCCGAAGGGACGCTCTCCGAAGGAGAGGCTTACATGATAAATCGACCTCGCGGCCTGAGGTCATAAGGTTTAAGGCTGAAATTTCACACTTTTAAACTTCAAAGTGATTTGCCTCCAAAACCTCAATTCCTTCTAAGGAAATGAGGTTACCGGAGGTGAGCCTTGCATCTTGGCTTTTGTTTAAAAAAAAAATTAATCTTTTAGCATCAAAAATGAGCCACCTCCGATCTGTTTGAAGGAGGACATGCTTTGGGAGTTAACTCTTGGCAAATAGTAATAAATGCCAATTTTTTCCTCTGGTTCAGATAGTCGGATCGTGCTCGCATGACCGGATCGGAATTTAGAAAACTTGTTATGTCGTAGTTGACAGGTTCTTTGACAGCATGAATGCGAGTGAGAGTGAGACTCCGAGGCTCAATGACATGGTTGTCATGAGGGCGTGAGACCGGACATCGGAGGGGAAATATCCGGTCATGGTCCAATCAGATTTTGTATTTTTCATTTTTGATCGAGCATAATATCTTTGGCTTGAGGAGGAGTGGTAGGAAAGTAAAAACATGGAAAAAATGAGAAAAATCATGCGAGTCTATGTCCCGCTCGGCTTCCCTAACAACAGTCATCTTGTGGGGGAAATGGGGTGTTTTGTGATTTATCCGGCCATTTGGCTGGATGCCCTCAGCCCAGATGTGCGACATTATGTGCAAGTCCCTCCCTGACGGGAGGCGGCCCTTCGGGCCCAGGGAGGGACTTGTGTTAAGTTCGCTGCCATCCGACCTCCATCATTAACATTGCTGGGTTGGGGGGGCAATCGGGCGAGTCGATTTTCCTAGATACATCAACACTTGATCCTCATGACGGGCATCCTGAGACAAGTCCCGCAGAAGCCAATGACTCAATCGAGAGCTCAACCGACGCCGCATCAAGCACTGAGGGGAGCAACCGCCATGTTAATAGCTGTGTGCAAGGGAAAGCTTCACCGGAGGTTCACTTGGACCGGTACACCAAAGTCCGTGGGGGACTTCAACATTGCCAATGACTGTGCTCATAAATAAGCGTCCCTTGATGATGCGGGCTGTCGCTTAGTAAAACCCAATAAGCACGTTTGTGGGAATATATGAACATTCTTTTTTGATCACAACTTTCTTTTCCGAACTAGGAACTCAGCAGTCGTTAGCTCTGAGCCAAACTTTCCATAGACACTGTCATTTTAACATCAAGGAAGTTCCTTCACTACACCATACACCGCCTTACACCGCACATTTTCCTTGAGAGACTCTCCCATTTTGAAGACACTTGTCAGATAACCCGATAACGCTCATTGCTTTTAAAAGCATTTCACAAGACACAAGGACTTGGCCCCGAGTCACATTTTTCTTATTAACTATACCATTAACCTTTCAGAAACATACCTTATTGAGCCCAAATATGAGAATCATCTTATCTCTTAGCTTTCTTTTATCACTGGCCTTGGCTTCGGTTGCCCAAATTGGATTGACCGCGCAATACTTTCAACTTGATGGAGGCAATCAAAAGAGTATCAAATTAAGCTGGCAAGCAGACCCCAAGGTTCAAAATTTCACAGTCTTGCGCAAATCCGGCGGAACCAGTTCCATGATTGCGCAAACACAGGGCAACATCTACGATGACCTTGGAGTCACGGGAGGGCAACTTACCTATCAGGTGCTCGTTAACGGAGACCCTTCCAAGAGCTCGAACGAAGTGACGATATCCAGTGACGCGCCGATAGGCTCCAGGACGTTCTCTGTATTCGATAACACTCAGCCTTCAACCCTCAAAGCGATCTCTAAAATCAAACTAGGCAGCACTTACTATAATTACGTGATCGAGAGCGATACCAATGCGATGTCCCAAATCATCGAACAAACCTCAACCGATGGCTACACATTTTCCGGTAGAAGGGTGCTCTTGACCCGCAAAGAAGTCTGCGCAGCAAGTACCGATGGGTTTTGCAAGCTCGAAGCGGTCACTTTTGTCCAGAATCCAAAGAACTCTGAAGTACTCATGTGGGCGCACTGGGAAAATAAGCAAGATTACGGACAAGCTCGGGTCGCGGTGGCCTTTGGACAACCGGGTGGCCAGTGGAAATTTGGTGACTCCTTCAGACCCCTTGGGCACGACTCCCGCGATCTCACATTTTTTCAAGATGACGACGGTTCCGGATATCTGATCTCCTCTACCAATATGAACACGGACATGAATATCTACAAGCTCACGGCCGATTGGCACAATGTAACCAGTCTGGTGTGCACCGTCCTGAAAGGCGAGAGAAGGGAGGCGCCTTCGTTGATTACTCATGACAAGGTCTACTACCTGTTCACATCCAAAGCAGCGGGCTGGTACCCCTCTGCAGGTGAATACATTTCCGCCACTAGCCTCGCGGGACCGTGGAGTAAGAGTCGGGGTATCGGCAATCTTTCTGGCTTTGGAGCTCAGTCGGGTCAGGTACAAAAGATAGGCTCTTCATGGGTGATGTGCGCCAATCAGTGGAGTGCCCAATGGCTTGACCCAGAACCTCCCAGTCACCAAATCCTCTTGCCGATCTCACTGTCGAACGGGTACGCCGATTATCATTTTTATCATCAACTGAGATATCTTGATGGCGAGTCCCAATCCGGTGTTTACGGCGTCCAGAGCGGTAAGGTCCTTTCTGTTGGTCAGAGATCTTCTGCCACCCCAAGCGTTGCAGGTACGTTGCAATTGGAGCTACCTTTTGACATAAGTGAAAAGTTATCCAACTGATTATCACCCTGATTATTGTTTGCTTATTTCAGGCTTCGAAGAAATCAAAGCGACCAATGGCGTTAACCTAGACCCCAACAACTTCTACCAACCTTCAACGGGGTCATTTTTCTACACAATCGAGTTAGATGTTCCCAGCGTTCTGACTCAGTTTGATCTGACGACGAGGCTGGTTGGTGGGAGTGAAACATCTTATCAATTCACAATTTCCGGAAGAGCCAGTCCGACAAGCCCATTCGAAGTGATCGTAGACAAGAGCAATAATACCCGGGTTGGATTTGTCACCAGCACGCTGTCGAGCTCGAAAATGTATTCGACCGTCAGACTCGACGTCAAAAGCGTCCTGAATGTCCATAACAAGAACCCCGCCAATTGGGCAGAAGGTATACATCAATTCACCGTTTACGGCCAGAATGCGATGATGCTGGGCCAGCCCGCTAGCCAACGTACTCTAAGATCCACCCGACGAAGAATTTAAGATCTATCGGGGAATCTGAATGCGCTAGCGCCGAGGAAAATCTAATGAATTGCAAGTATAATAGATCGTTTCGGGCCAATATATGTATGATGGGTTTTATTTTATAAACCTCTGTTTTTGCAACGAGATAAATCAATCGTCGAATGAATATTTTAGATAGATATCCTCCATGAAAAAAAAAGTTAATCAAACGATAGAAATTTGTTACCTACAAATATTTCCATGATGTCATCAAATTGGCTTGACTTTTTTCTAATCAGAGGGAGTGGTTTGAGGGATCCCTTGAGACTGGACACAGGGGAATGAAGACTGTAAGAAAGAACAAAGGTGAGTCAACTCTGGCAGAGAAGAGGAAGGGATCAAGTGGTGTTAGTGTAGCTCCCGTCCCGATGACAATTCTCCTAGTGACATTCCCTTGTAAAGCCGGCCATGGTCGATGCATTTTCATATCTCCTGTGTTTCTTCTGCGTACCCTTGCCTATAACATAATGGAAGGAATGTACTTAATTTTAGAGTGTTTTCCAAATCGAAGCTTTTCCCGGGAAAGCTTCAGTTTTGTAATTACTGGTAGGATTACCTTTTTGAATTAGTATATTTAAGCCTTCATCGAAAGAATTAAGCAGAATGTATTAAAGCTCTCAACACGAATAACAACTCGAAAACCCAAGGAACCATCACAGCGAACTAGCTCGAATGTGCGAGTCTAAAAAGGTTTAAAACTCAACAGATATGACCGAAGGAGTTTTATCATGACAGATCTGCTTCGAGAAAAAGTCCAAAACCCCACCAAATGGCATGGACTTAAGTATTTGGTTTCGGCAAGCCCATAGATTCATGCGCGACCTTCAAACTCGGTCATCAAGATTCAAGCTTGGTGTTGACTGCTGACCACCAGGAGCCACGAGGATTAATCCGAGCAAGAAACAAACTAAGAAATCACAAAACCCATCGGAAGGTAAAAAGAAGGGTATGTGTGTATGTTCGTATCCTTCGGCTTGACTGAAATGCACTCAAGACTGACCCTTCGCTCTAATCGCTGTTAGACTTTTACCCGATCGAGGAGAGTGAACGATGGACCTATCGACACTGGCAAACCATGCGCAGAGGTTATCAGCACGACTTTCCGAAAATCTGGCGGAGCGGACAAAGGATCTCGGTTTAGATCCCGAATACAATCTCTCCAACCCTTCCAACACTCTCAACAATAAACTCCCGATCTTGGCCCATGCCCAGGGACTCTTGGGAAACTCGCTCCCCTATTGGGAGAGATTGAGTGAGCTCACAAGTGTCGAAGGTGAACTGGAGACTAAGAGGTTACTGGGCAGTAAGTCTGAATCTGATCGGGTCGAAGGATTGAAGAGAGTTACAGTTGTATGTGCTTCCTGGGTTAGCTCAATAAAAAAAAAGTAATTAGGATCTCCTGACATCACTTTGCTTTTTTCATATTTGTGATCCAGATCATGTGCAGGAATCGTCCAGTGCTTTCGTTTTTCCCATTCGTCACCAATTGTCTCCATCCTTCGACGTCATCAATGGCCAATGGATCATACCACTCAACTGTTTCACATTCCTTCACAATCAGACATTTAGTCTCAATTTACATCTTACAGCATTCTCATCTTTCGCCTGATCTCGCCCTACTATCGGTGAATGCCTGGCAAAAGGATCTCTCCGATCCCAGTCCGATCATCCGTTCCCTTGCTCTGAAAACTCTTGCTGGGATGGGTCTCGAATCCGTATTACCTCTCGTCGTAGTCACTATCGACCGATTAGCTAATGATCCAAATTGGTTTGTCAAACGGACCGTTGCCGAAGCCTTGATTACAGTCCACCAGATGGACCCACACACGTATCGGGACAAGTTAATCGAAGGACCCGTCAAACGTCTTTTGCAAGATCGCTCCCCACTCGTTCTCGGCGCTGCCCTGACAGCATGGGAAGCCATCTGCCCCGAGAAGTGGGATCTGCTACACAGGCGATTCCGGGCATTTTGTTGGACTCTAGTAGATGCAGACGAAAACGGACAACACGTGATCATGCGTACCTTGACTCGATATGTACGGGAACACTTTACCAATCCAGAGCAGCCCACTGATTCCAAGACTCCTTTAGATCTCGACCTTGAATTGTTTTTGAATTCTGTCCACACACTCTTCCAATCTCGTAGCTCTGCAGTCGTCATCGCTGCCACAAACGTCTTCATCTTCTTGGCTCCGCTGGATCGTCTGAAGACTGTTGTTCCAGATCTCATGAGATTGGTAGAAGAAAAAGCATCCGAACGCGAGGATGAATCACTCTTGGTGGTCTTGAATCAAATTTATCAAATTATCAAATTCACATCCAACAAGCTGAACAAATCACATTTGTTCTCGGCACATCTCAATAGCTTCGGGATATGCTCTACGTCGGACTCTCAAGCAGTTAAAATAAGTAAACTGAAAATCTTAAGAACATTTATATCTCTCAATGATCGGCCCATTCAGTTGAGAGTTCTGTCCGAATTGAAATTCTGTACCCGAGATTTTCACGATGAGTTTGTCAAGCAAGTCATTCGGACAATCGGTCGAATAGTTATGATGACTAATGGTAAAGTACAACAAGAAGCCTTGGATGTGTTGATTGAATTGACAAAAACTGGTCAGAGTAAGCCATCTCACAGGGTTGTAGCTTCCTATCTATTAGGAACTTAAGAAGTTGTACTGAAGATGATCTCATTCTGCTCAAAGATAAACAGAGATGTAAATCGGTTGAAATACTACGGGGCATACTTTCCTCAGATCTCAAGACTATCGCCGCCATGTTGCCCAGTCTTCAAAAAGTCAAGGGAGACCTGATTTCATTACTTGTTCATAACAAGATCCAGCAGGACAGCGCACGAGCCAATTTATATCGCTTGGTTTCCGACATTGACTTTCGATCGGAAGCTCCAATCAGCCCTAGCTTTATACATTTTTACAAATATTCAATTTGGAACTTTGCGAACGAAGGACTTCGATGTAAATTCCAGATCCTGTCCCTGGTATCCAAATCGTTGTTGATGATCACGATCCGGAGGCAGGAAGACGACGCATCGATGTCGTCAGTCTTGTTTGATCAGCGTCGGGCGTATCAGCTGGGGTTTGATCATCTCATGCGGGTAGCACGATACGATAGCAACTTCATCGTCCGAGACCGCGCGCGTTTTTTACAGGGGCTCCTCACATCCACTCAAGGCTTAACACTTCACGATGAACCAAAAGGGTTCGGGTTGGTCGAGGTCCATGAGCACGATGAGCATCATGAGGGAGCGATCGCTCTGTTAGACGAACACACCGCCTTCACTCGAGGTCATCAGCTCTCCTCTCTCCATGATCCTTCATCCTGCTCAATTGATCAAGAACCGATGAAAAAAATCAGCCTCAATGAGTTGAAGAAAATCTTGTTGCTTGATCCCTCACCTGAGCCCGTCAATCTTGACGACTATCAAGGGCGAAGTTATTTTGAAGCAAACTCGTTATTTCGGATGGCAGGGTTGAACCCAGGCGAGAGAGGGGATGGCAACTCGAGCAGTTGGAGGTATTTGGACTGGAATACGGTACCTGCTTGGTCCCAGACCGCGCTGGATCCGAGGTTGAGAGAGCCCGAGGATGGGCAAGAGAAAACCCAAAACTCATCGGCTCAGCTCTCCTCAGCCTTCCACCAAGATCCATCGAATCCATCTCGAACTTCGACTACCGATGGCAAGAGGATGATCGACCGATCGAAGCTGAAGGAGAAGGTGGTCTTGATCCCTACAGGCTCTGACGATGACCTCATCTCTACTAATACAAGACCTTCGGGGACCGGTGGGAGTGGACATAGAAATCTTGAAGATTTCTTGCAAAGTAGCGGGGACGAAGATGATGGATTGCAGGACGAAGACGAGGATGAATCAGAGGATGAATCAGAGGATGAGGATGAGGATGAGGATGAGGATGAAAGTGAAAGTGAAAATGACGACACACATAATCACATTAATGGCCCCTAATAGTGAAAATGCACAAGACACAACAGCGAAACTTGTATTTTTTGTCATGTATTTGGCTTTATTTATGATACTTCACCATTCTACGTAAACATTAATATTAACATTGTTGTTCACATGAATTTCTTCAAAGTGCTTGTTTCACCGTGATATCCATTGCTTTTCTAGCTCGACATCCTCAAGTCCCCTAACAAATGCAGCATGTCTTCTCGGTGGTTTCCTAGCTCAATCAAGTTGGATGGTGGTCCCAAAACAAGAATGGTGTGAAAGGAGCAATGGTGGGCCAGTTACACTAACCCTCGTAGTGGAATTCCACCACATCTTGCACTAACACTACGCGCATAGGCCCTAAAAAAGGGCCCACTACGCTACACTAACACACTGGTTAGCAGTTTTTTGGCCCTGTAGCGCAGCATAGCGTATCAAAAAGCCGCTAGAAATCACTAACACTACATATTTTTGGTGTAAAAAAAGTGCCGCTATGCTACACTTTTTGGGCCAAAAGCGTAGCGGCCCACCGCCAAAAGGAGATCACAAAATTTGAATTGTAGTAGCTAAAAGGGCATATACCGCAAGGGCATCAAATAATCAATCTAAAGTGAACACCGTACACACCCAGTGCCCACCCAAGGCATCCCTGCCAGATTACGCCCTTCAGAACTTTGATGAAATTCTTTTGCCCCTGTGTTTTCTGTCACCTCATCATATGCTTCCTGGACACCAGATGAAGGTATGTTTGATGCATTTGAACACCCTTTTGGCCGCACATGGGACAACAAGTATGTCTGTTTTGTTGATCTCTTGTTTGAATAACAGAATCAAATTCAGCAAAAAGCTGAGAAAATGTGTTGAATTGGTTGAAAATTAATAATCAAGGACTGCGTTTTGTGGGTCAAATTCATTGGTGATTTGCATCTTAGATCCAACATTTGATAAAAAAAAGATTGAGATTGATGTCAACAGATTGAGATCTGATCCTCATACTCTGAATGAAGTTGTTTCAATTTCTAGTCCATCCTTTCGAAAAGAAAACACAAAGGACATCATGTCCATCAGAAACAAAGACTTGAAATTGAGTCATCAAAGGGAGAAACTTCAGGAGCTTGAATCAAATGCAAAAACCAGTGTCAATATGGCTGAAAAGAACTTCTACATATGTTGTTGGAAAATCAGAATGGTGTGTTTTGCAAGACTCCCATCAACATTTAAGTTATGAATTGAAACATGACCATGGGAATGAAACTCCATGTCATATTACCAAATTTTTAAATCTTTCAGTAGGGTCCGGGAACAGGAAACATTATTCCCATCTTCTTGATGAGTCAATTGAGTCATGTGAAACCAATAGAGATTACCTGATAGGCTGGAAAAATTGCTAAGTTGGATGCTTTTGAATACACACAACTTTCCAGATAAATATTTTACCTCAGTTGAATCTGAGAGTGAGGGGAAAGATCAATCCAAACAAACACATTACTTCATTGGTTATGTAATAAACGTGTGTACAAGAAATTTGATCATCCAATCACATTTTTTGATGAATCTCAAAGTAAGGATTTATGCATATTGATGATTTACAAGATCATATCAAATCCAATTGACGCGAGACCAGATTGGATAATATGATACTACATTCCAGAACAAATTGGAGATTTTGATCCCATCTGATCACTCAATGTTCTTCCAAAAAATTAGGCTCATTCATTCCAAGATTTAGATAGTCCAAATTACACAAATATTGGACGACTTCCCGTCAACTTCTGCGGGTCTCCCAGAGCTGGTTTAGACCCTTGAAATTCAAATTTCTCTGCGAGAATCAAGAATTTTTGGGTCTAGATCGACTTCTGGGAGGGTCCCGGATCCGACGGGAAGTCCTCCATTATACAACAGACACAAACCAGAAAATCATGTTATTTTTTTTGGAAGAAATTCCCGTGAATGTATGTTGTATTTGAGAAGAAAAGGAACATTCAAGCTTAGGTACTGGAACACTGCTCAATGATTGGCTCCAACCAGCTATCGTGATCAATCCTGTTCCTCGATCACATTTGAACTGATGTAATAGGAGTGAACCACTCCCAGGAGCAGGGCTCAGACCAGTAGGGAATAAATTTACTTATGAACATGTTATCCCCAATTAAAATTGATGCATATGTATTCTACCAATCACAGTGGATTGCATCATCTCTAGCCATGCTTCATGAAACAAGACAAGACATTTCTTTACTTTTGGTGACAGGAGGATGATAAGACATGTATGATCGTTTGTGGAATAGAACCAGAAGACGTGGGGCAAGTAGATAAGAAACAATGGAGACCTGTGTTCGTTCTGAGCATCACATGAGGTATGGGACATGATAATGAGACGGGATGAGAAAAGATGGTTGCTTGTGAGACGATGTAGCGACAAGGTGATTGCAGTTTGATGAAGGCGGATTTTCTTCGACGTAAGTTTTGGAGGAGCAGGAGCATGTAGGGCTAGCTAAATACAGGAATGAAAGAGAAAAGACAAGGTGAGCGAGTGTCTACCAATCGAGATTTTTGCCGGTTGCAGAGCCGCCGACGGGGATGGGCACTTTGCCGCCGAAGCCGATTCCGTCTAACCAGGGCCACTTCTGGGAGCGGACAGCTTCGTAGGACTTGATCTTGTCGTCGAGGAGCTCGGTCAGACGGATGTCATCGAGACCTTCAACAAGGCATTTCTTTCGGAATGGGTCGATTGAAAATTCAATCGAGACCTTCGAGCCCGTCTGCTGGTTCGTCGCATTCACTCGTTGGTTCACCAAGTCAATCTCCACATCGTTCCCCTCACTCGCTATTTGTGCCAATTGGTCAACTTCCTTCTGCGGTAAGATTAACGGCAACATCCCGTTCTTGAACATGTTGTTGAAAAAGATATCGGCAAAACTATTTTTCCACCAAACAGATTCAAGCAACCAATCAACCATGTTATTACATCTGCGGGTTGTTATTCTTTGACAGGTTCACCAAGAGATTCGAAAATGGACATACCTAGTAGCTATGACACATTTGATCCCAAAGTCCAATAATGCCCACGGGGCATGTTCTCTAGAGCTTCCACAGCCGAAGTTGGGCCCGGTGACGATCAGGATTTTCGCCTTGTTGAAAGGTTCTCGGTTCAGTACAAATTCGGGGATCAATTCATCCTTTCCTTCCACGGATCGATAGCGCAGGGAACGGAATAACGCTTGGCCTAAGCCAGTCCGTTTGATCGTTTTAAGGAAGACGGCTGGGATGATTTTGTCGGTATCGACATTGCTAATGGATCGTTCTGGCTTCAGCTTGAAAAGTCTCATAGGGAGGCTAGCTGATGCTGTTTACAGAATGAAGCGAAACGTACCTAGCTTCTACAACAGCAGCAATACCTTTCCAAACCTCAAACTTGGGTAAGCCAGCTGGTTTTCCAACGGCTTGGGTGGGAGCCCCAGCTGATTGAGCAGGAGCGTCATCAACTGGATGAGACTCAGAGGTTTGATCCTTGTCGGTGGGTTCCATCTTCGGGACCAGCTTAGGCTCGTGCAGTCGAGCGGTAGTTTGAATCTTTCTGACATCAGTGAATCGACCGTGGATGGCAGCAGCAGCGGCCATCGCTGGGCTCATCAGGTGAGTCCGCCCACCGGGTCCTTGACGGCCCTCAAAGTTTCTGTTCGAGGTAGAGGCACATCGTTCGCCGGGTTTGAGCTGATCGGGGTTCATCCCGAGACACATCGAACAACCAGCCTCTCGCCAGTCAAACCCAGCGTCCTTGAATATCCGATCGAGACCCTCTTCCTCAGCTTGCAATTTCACCAAGCCGGAACCGGGGACGACCATTGCATAGACACCTTCGGCAACGCGTTGACCAGGCCCAATGATCGATGCTGCAAGCCGCAGGTCCTCTATGCGAGAGTTGGTACAAGAGCCAATAAAAACCTTGTCGATCTTGATCTGCTCCATTGGGGTGTTGGGCTCAAGACCCATGTATTCCAAGGCCCGGATGGCCGATTTCTTGGCCGCTTCATCTGTCATCTGAGCAGGGTCGGGAACGTTTCCAGTGATTGGGACCACATCTTGTGGACTCGTACCCCAAGATACCGTCGGCCCGATGTCACTCCCATCAATCTCAACCGACTTATCAAAGTGCGCTCCTTCGTCAGTTTTGAGGGACTTCCACCATTCAATCGCCCGATTGCGCTCCTCCCCCTTGGGTGCGAGTGGTTTTCCAATCAAATATTCGAACGTCTTCTCGTCCGGTGCAACTAAACCAGCTCTGGCACCAGCTTCGATGGACATGTTGCAGACACTCATCCTGAAGAGATTAACAGTTGATCATGAGTTTTTCGGATGGATGAAAAACAAGGTGTGATCTGTAAAATGAACGACGGACCGATTTTCCATCGACATGTCTTCAAAGACTTTGCCGCAGAATTCGATAACATGTCCATTTCCGCCCGAAGTGCCGATGGTACCGATGATGTGGAGGATGACATCCTTGCTGGTGACCCCGGGAGCAAGAGTTCCGTTGACCTTAACTTTCATGTTTTTACTCTTTTGTTGGGGTAACGTTTGAGTGGCCAGGATGTGTTCGACTTCCGAGGTGCCGACTCCAAAGGCATAAGCTCCGAAAGCGCCATGGGTCGAAGTGTGCGAGTCACCACAACAAACGGTGGAACCAGGTAGAGTGAAACCTTGTTCAGCGGCCATGACCTATGTGTTTAAAAAGAAGAATAAAATCAAAAAAAGGTTGGTCTGAAAAAATCCCGGATTGGCTACTTTAGGACTGATGCCAGCTTACGTGGACAATTCCTTGGCGCTTATCTTTGAGACCGAAGTAAGTCAAGCCAAAGATCTTGACATTTTCTTCGAGGGTCATGACCTGAGTACGAGACTCAAACCTAAACATGGTTGATTAATATAGGATGGAAGGCTGAGCATAGTGAAAAAAAAGTTCAACGTCGATAGTCTTACTCTTTGATGAAGGTGGAGACACTAGTGGCTTGACTTCTATCATCGGTGGGCACGTTGTGGTCGCATGTTGCTAGAGTACAATCGGTCCGTCTGACGCCACGACCAGCGTTTCTGAGACCCTCGAAAGCTTGAGGAGAGGTGACTTCATGAACAATGTGTCTTTTTTTTTTTGAAAGAAAAAATGTTTTGTCAGATGAAATGAAGGTATCAATTGATAGATTGCATTTGAATTTCTCACCGATCGATGTAAATTAACGCCGATCCATCGTCCTTAGCATTAACGACATGTGCGTCCCAGATCTGCCAAAAAATGTTCAAGTCCATGATATGATGAATGTTATGAAGAGAAGAGGCATCAGAAAATGATTATTATTAAACTTGCCGAGTTTGACTCTCATAGGTTGTTAGAAATAGATCAAAAACAGAAATGATGGCTGACCTTGTCAAACAGGGTGCGAGGCTGGTATTATTATCAGAAGAAACAAACAGAAACAAAAGTGATTAGTCGAGTTGGGATTGAGAGAAGGAAGGAGAGAAAGCGTGCTTACTTGGGTGCTCATGGTGATGTGGTTGTGGGAGTTGATTTGGGGTTGCTGCTGAAGAATTGTAAGAAGGGATATGTAGTTCGTCAAGTTGGAGTGATGTGGATCCAACCAATCCCAGCCGAAGCAAATAAATTTAGAATTTTTCAAATTTGACGGCCGGAAGGGGGCTGACAGGTCTAGACCCCTCGGGCGGCCGACTTATGTAATTAGGGTTCGGCGAGCAGATGCCGCCCAGCCGGGCCCTTTAACTCCATCCAGAGTTCGCGCCATCGCCAGTGCCACCCAAGTTGCCGGACTCTCAAGGCAGGGCAACTCAACCGCCACCCTCAAGAGTCAAGAGTCAAATGATCCCCCAGACTCGGCGACCCCCTTCGGCTGATAAACATTGCGCCATCAACCGTCCCTACTTCCAACACGTCGCTGCCAGACATCACGGTGGCAGGGAGGATCGGTTCAAAAGTTGCTTCAGCATTTAAGGAAATTATATATGAGGAGATTGAGATGGCGATTATAGTAATGCGGGGGTAAGTACGAAGTTTTGACTGACTATGGGCCCACCTGCTCTTAGCGTCTGGCCTCCTTACGATCGTTTGCAATTGAATGAGATTCTTGGCACATTTGATTCAAGGCATGAACCCCAATTCTTTGATCATACATACATAACAGCTCTCAGTCGAAACTTGATACATAGAACGACATCCCATCTCCGACAGCCAGCACATGAACATGTGTGACTCTGGCAGGCTATGCAGCAGCTCCAATCAATCAAATGAACTTACGTATTGATATTGACACGAAGCGGAAGAGCAGAGTGGGGTGGACAAGAGAAGTGAGCGTAGGATTCGGAAGGCTTAAAATGGTGCTCGTATTGTGGTTGCGTCCTTTGGCCCACTTCAATCAATCGTCACTTCCTATAGTCATTACTCGGTCCTTCAGAGAAAATTATAACCGTCGCAACATGCGTTCCGTAGTAGCTGCTGCCATCTCCCTCGCGCTTTTCCAAAGTGCTACTGCCAGTGCCCCCCACGCACTCGACAAGCGAGGCACCTATCCCGGAGGCTTCATTCGAGGTGTACCCAACCCCTCATGCGAAACTTACCCACCGCCACCTAGCTGCATCCCTCATCCTCGTTTTGATGACGTCGCAGCTTGCTACTACAACCCCTTCCCTCAATATTGTCGTCAATACATCCCCAACGTCAACTACGATTATTGTTCGATGTACCCCTACATCCCTGATTGTCAACCGTCTTATCCCGATAACTTCTATTACGGAGCCTCGCCCTACGGTCAGCTCGGTTCGTCCACTGGGAATACGATGTTCAAGGCTAAGGAGGCTGATGGACACAAGGCTGTAAGTCACCTTTCTGCCCTCATGGCCCCTCTGGAATGTTCTACTCACTTGACCTGTTTCCCAGAAAACCGAGGCGAAGGCTTAGGACAACTCCTGTGGACAACACAAACGGTTCCTTCACCATTTTTTACTAGCCGCACCTCTCCTTCTTTATTGATTTGTTTGTTTCCTCTTGCACCGTGCCCGCACTGTCCTCGCACTTGAGCTGTTGTTACTGAAGCCCCTGTTTCGTATGGGGATGTATGGACTCGCAATTTACTCGTCTTGCCTTGGATGGCCACTGCTCTCATACCATGTTGTCTTATGATGTGTCATATCCACGCATTGTGCGATGAGTGACTGCAAACCGAACATCTGAAGTATGGGTCACTCCTTCCTGGGAAAAACCTTGGCTTCCAACATTTAGCCAGCCGCAGATATTTATGTACCTTGCAGATTTGCACATTGTAGCGGCGCCGAGCGGCACGCTAATGTATCAGTAAAAGGGGGTGATTGTTGACTCCAAACAGGTGGCCATCTGTCTCCGTTGTTCCTCCCACCAGCTCCAACCCCCTCTCCAGCAGGTAGCAAAGTAATGCTTTAGGGAAAGGGCACTGCTCATTCTCTCTCAGCCGAGTACTACTGGGAAATCATGAGAGGAGGGCAGAAAGTGTACTCATTCTCTCTATTCCATTCACGAAGGACCTTTTCCTCTACCGTGACAGATTTGTTCAGGAAGTGGGAGCTACCTACTTCGTCAGAACAAGCCATAGCTGCAGAGAGATCATTCTTCCCTCCTCCGTTGCTGTAGCGATAAGAGGGAGTGCCCAATGATAGGACAAACTGGGCAAAACATGGTGAGCGTGCTCAACTTGCACCCTGCAATCCGCTGTGTGGCGTGGTCATCTAATTACTCGCCGGGGATAACATTGAAGGGGCACCCACTACTGAGGACAGGTGTTCGGGTTTGCGGAGCAGTAGTGATGTTGAGGCTTACCCGAGTAAAAATTTCTCCCGGTCGGTTGGTCCGCTTGGCAAGCTGCAGGCAGTGGGTCGACCGCCTGCTCTCAATTCTCGAAATGTGAGCAGGCCCAACCTCGCGAATGGCTTGCAGCGTAGCAGTGGCCCCTTCGCAGAGATGTTGAGGCTTACCCGAGTCAAATTTCTCCTGGTCTGTTGGTCCGCTTGGCAAGTTGCGGGCAATGGGTCGACGGGCCACACGTCTCAAATAGGTGGCCAATGATCTACCTCATGAATGGCTTGCAGCGTGATGACTTGCTGTACACTTTGCCCACATGATTACTGACCCGCCGCCCGCCCCCCCCCCCCCCATCAGGCTGTTTCACTCGCTGATGGTGGCGCGCATGCACAAGAAGGTGATGCATGATACACATGATCATTTCTCAAGATCGGCTTGTGTGATGACTTTTAATCACCGCTTTCATAGGCTTCGACTCGGCTGTCTTTGCGGTCACTAATGCATGTAAAATATAGTTGTTTCCATTAATCAATGTGAACCGGTCAGGCATTGTGAAAGTTTCAACTGCCCCTTTCCAAGAGACCCCGAGTGCATTTTGTACAATTGATTTGAAATGGAAGATGCCCAAAATAAAACTAGGAGGACTGAAGATTAGAAATAATAGATGAGGTTAAAGGGCGATCGAAGAATGCTCCAAAATGTCGAAAGTAGAACTGGAAGAAAAGTGAATTAGAACTAGCAAATGGAGATAAATGGCGATTGAGGAGTTCTCCAGGGGGATCGAGAGTTTAATTGAGAATTTATTTCTCTGCGGAAATGTCATCCTTAGCGGCGGCGGCGGCATCGGCTTCGTCTTTCATAGATGCCTCGTCGTGTTTGACCAGGGGGGTGACCGAAGGACGAGCGTTGTTGACGACCGTAAGCCAACCGGATACGGCGAAGATTTCATCGATCTCCTCCAACGACCGGTAAGCAGTTTCCGGAAAGAAGAAATATATACTCGGGACAATGAACGCGTTGACGATGGCAAATACCAAATCTGGAAAAACGCGATGAGATAAACGAGTTAGAAGGGTTTCCTTTGAGCTTTGGATGTGTGGACATGTTGGCTTACATGTTTTCCATCCAATGTGATCAAAACAGATCGGAGTGATGAGGACGATCAAGAAGTTGAAAATCCAGTCTGCATGAAGCCGAGCAATAAAGCAGTGGTTAGTGAGAGTTAATGGATGGAGAGTCAGCTGAGGGTGGTAGGACTGACTGGAAGCGGTACTGAGTCCTGTGGCAGCAGATCGGATTTCCAGACCAACGATTTCGGCAGAGTACAGCCATCTGCACAACGAGTGAATTGTCAACAACGGCACAAATTATTGAACATGTTGGTTTGATACGTACGACATTCCTAGCCATCCAATCCCGAAGAAAGTGTTGTAGACGAAGAAGAAGACTGTGGCGGCGATAGCTGGTCCGATGTCGGTGGAGTTGGGGCCATTCTGCTCGATCTTCCATACTGAAACCGCAAGAACAGCCATACTGGCCGCCATTCCGGCAGCCCCGTACAACATCAACTTCCGTCTGCCGAATCGTTCTGCGTTGATGTATATTCAAATAAGTTGGTGTTTGCATAATCAAGGACCGAGCTTTAGCTTACCAATGGTGTAAACTCCAATCCATGAGGCCAAGAAAAATTCAGTTCCGGTGCAAGCAGCTAAAACACGAGACAGCACGGGACCCAGGTGTAGATAATCTGATGACGAAGTTTTGGCAACATGCGTCAGCCTCATGAACGTTACATTCTTGGCGGGGGCGGAAAAAGCTTACTCTCATAAACCGTTGCTGCGTACTAAGTGTCCCCAAGAAAACATACACAAGTTAGCAAGGGAGAGGAATGGAACGGCTGAAGGCAGACTTACGTAAGTGATGAGGTTGATACCACTGTGGCGGAATGGTTTGAAACGTCAAACCGCGAGTTAGATATCTTTCTTCTGTCTTGGCTTGTGGTGTGGGGTTGGATCAAGATCTCACCTGATTTGTTGGAAACACTGGCTGACCACCGCCAAGGTAGTACGCTGAAAGTTGCGAGACTTTCCATTCTTGAACAGGTCCATGAAGCGGGGAGGGGGACAATTTTCGACGGAATCTTGTACTTGTTTCAAGAGCTTCTCGACAGTGTGATGGGTTTGTTCCACACCGCCAAGGCTTGCAAATACCTCTCGGGCGTGTTCGATGTGTCCCTTCTTGACGAGCCATCGGGGAGACTCTGGCAGAGTGAGAACCGTTGACATGATGATGACTGCAAAAACGATCTGTAGGGCGATTGGCATCCTCCATGAGACTGAAGATTCGTTGGTGAAGTAAAAGGCCAGCTGTAATTACACCGTAGGGACTTCGTCAGTGAGATATTCGAAATCATGACACCTCAATGATTACTTACATCAACCCAGTAACTGATCATGATACCCGCAGTGATCAAGCAACCTTCCAGCATGACTAGTTTTCCTCTTTGATGGGCCGGGGAACATTCACTGGATATTTGCCCGTTTTGTGTCAGAATGCGTAACCCGTTCAAAGAGGTGCACTGATGTGAAATGGTACTTACGATTGCCAGACCGGAACTGTTGCTGTTATGAATCCATTGCCAAAACCAGTGACAACTCGTCCGACAATGAACTGGGCTATGCCAAAAGAAGCAGCCTGAATGATGGAGCCGACAATCATGACGAAGGCGCCGATGAAGATGATCTTCCTTCTTCCGAGTTTTTCGCCGAGCGAAGAACAAGAAAGTGCGCCGATCATGCAGCCTACCAACACGCATGGAGAAGGTGGTGTCGGCAGAAAAGCTCCTCACAATGCTTGGAGATAAGGTTTGAAAGCGCAGCTCACCAATTTCATACAGTGCACTGTGTGTGTGTGTGTCAAGATTGAAATGATAAATTAGCTCGGGTGTGGTTCGGTCCAGACACGTGAGGTTGTGGGAAATACTCAACATGGCAACACCTTGGATGGTGGAATTTTTCGACTTTTGCTCAGCGGTAAGATGCTTTGAAATGGTGTCCATTTCAGGAAAGACTTCGACGAAGGTAGGAAGGGTGAGCAGACCACCCATGACACCCTGGTCATAACCGAACAAACTGTGGAAAACATTGTAGGACGTGGTGATAGGAAAAGTCAGCAGCGAAATTTTGAGGCTCAAGTGATGCCAGCTTTGATGGGAGCAGATCTGCTTACAAGAATCCTAACCCTGCCAAACTGGCGACAGC